CCCCAAAACCCCAAAACCCCAAAACCCCAAAACCCCAGCAAGTCATGAATTAATTGATTGCTTTATTATATTATATTTAAGAACATGAGGAAAAAGAATTCCTTACCTGAAATTTCTACACTAATAACGCCTGGAACCACTCAGACTACAGGCTGGACGACTAATAAAGGGTCTAGATATCGCTTCAAGTTCGATGAGATTAAGGAGAAATAAGTTTGATATTGCTTCAACCATTAATCTCAAGCATAAATTAGCTACTGTATCTCAGAAGAAGAGAAATCCGCAACCCAGAAGAATGAAGGCTTGCAGCCAGCCCCGAACGATTTCTAGGAACAGAAGAATAATTAAGAGAAATCAGAAAAATGGGGCTTGAAAACGGTTCTTCTCAGCAGATCTTAAATAATGAAATCGAGCGAGCAGAAGACTCCAATCTCTGGGCATCTAGCAATTCTAGTAAGCTAGAAGAAAACAAAGAGGATAACATGGAGGAACTAGTGGGTAAAGAAGCCTTCCTCAAATACTATCAGAAGTACAAATAAGTACTCTATCGATCCGAAGGACTGTAAGGACTCTGCCTCAACTGCTTTTATTCAGGAATGTAAGAACTTGAACCTAAATCCAGCACCAATAGGATTGATTAAACGCAAAGGAAACCCTGATGTTGTTGATGTCAATTATTTGCAGCTGGGAAAGACCTATATGAAAGCCCTTACCAAGTCGATGAAACATTTGAAGGTGAGGGATGTCAAGATCCAGAATATCAAGGAGAATGAAAAAGGCGTTATACAAATTATTGACGCCCTCAAGAAATTCTGAGAAAACATAAAACTGCTGAATACTACACTAGGCATGGACTCCGTCAGGCATTTATGTCAGTGGATGAAGAAACAGGATAACATCGGCTCCCTCAAGCTAAAGTATCTAAACTGTAGCAACTGAAGGCTGATCGAGACCACTTCTTTGTGTCTTATGAGGGGATTGAAAAATTCGCAACCAGATCTTATTGAGCTAGACCTGAGCCGGAATAAGATTAGTGACCGAAGCTGAATAGTACTTGGCGAGTACGTCAAAGGTGCATATTACTTAACCAAATTAGATCTGAAGTGGAACCTGATTAGTAGCAAAGGAGCTACTAAGTTATTCAAAGGGCTTTTAGTTGGAGCCAGTTGAAAGAATCTAAATCTGTCATACAATTGACTATCCAAATATGAATCGCTCGAGATGATAGAGGAGTTATCGAATTTGATCAACCAAAGCTTGGTACATCTTGACTTATCCCAGAATCATATGTCAGCATCAGCTTGAGCAAAGCTAGGAGAGCTGATAGAGAATAACCATACACTTTATGGTCTACATATGCAAGGAAATAATTGATATGTGGATGGATTCGGGTTTATTCGAGTTGATTCTTACCAGAATAACTTCGATTATTCGAAGAATGTTTATATTTCCCCACATGAGTTTACTGGACATTCAACATCAATGAAGTATAAGTCAGAAATTCCGATGAACTTTATGGCTGTGACAAAGTGATGGGTATGAGAAGGCTGGAGTGAGAAAACCTTCATTATCGACCCTCATAAATCAATTCAGGATATCGTGGAGCCACTGCACATCCATTTTAGTTATAACAACTATCAGCCTGAATTGATGATCTCTGAGCCTGACGGGACTTATAGCTATCGGACAATGTGCCCTCCAGGTAAAATAGACTACTTCTTTACAATGGATAAGATCGCTACCTCTGCGAAGGATCATTTCAGGAGGAAGCTTAAAGTCCCAAAGATGATCTACGATATTGTACAGTACGACGAAATCAAGACGTACCGACTTGCTAAGATAAATTACTGCATAGTTGAGCAAGGAGAGGTACTTGACAAAGATTACCTCCCTATAAGCACAACTTGTGTGCCTAGGCCAGTCCTGATGAAGTATGAAAAGCCAGAGGAAGTCAAAGAGAGGCCACCCTGGGAGTTTCCTAAATCACTTTTTGCTAGCTATATTCAAGATACAGCAGAGCTAATTTCAGAATGATTCGAATACGACTGGAGTCTTTGTAATAAACCTAAATTCACCATGGGTAAGTGACTTAAAATAATATTTAGAAGAGGAAGAGGAGATCAAAGCTGTTCTAAAGAAGCACTACTGGCTTATTAAGGAAATATTTAAGTATCAGAGCGCACTTGGGACTACAAGTGGGTCATCCTCGTTCGCAATCCCGCTTAACTACTACACTGACTTTGTCAGAAATTGTGGAGTTATTGATGGGAAGGAGATCAACTACACCGAGTCTGATACTTTACATTTATCTATTAACAAGCGTACTAAGATGACAACTCTGAACCCAGGAAACGGCTTGGTTAGGTTCCAGTTCTTGGAAATTTTGATGAGGCTAGGCCTCAAGAGGAGTAAGAAGATCTCTAATAAGGCAAAAAGAATTGACAGGTTTATGAATGAGTGCATTCTCAAGAATTCCAAATACCAAAAGGTCCAAGAATGGAGGTGGGAAAAGTACTGGAATGAGCCAGTGGATAATTTGTACAAATTTCATATCAAATTACTTCAAGAGGTTTATAATAATTACTCAGGCCGATTTAAGAAACCAGGCGAGCAGACATTCATGTCTTTGGTTGAATTTGAGAATCTGTGGGAGCATTCTGGTCTTCAGAACGATAATTTCGCAAATAGAGACGTCTATGTATGTTTCAATTTGGCAATGCAAACCAGAGTAGACGAGTTGACGTCAGACAAGCATCTCAAAATGTCATTTGTCGAATTCCTAGAAGCTGTAGCTAGGGTTGCGAACTACCTGAGTATCCCTCCACCAAGTTCAAAGTCAAAATTCCAGTATCTGAAGAAGGCTGATACTATGAATTCTGACAACCAAGATGAAGAAATTGAAGCAGAAGGTGACGAGGAGATATTCCTAACTGAAGAAGAATTACTGAATCAGCCTCTTAACAAAAAGATTGAGAATATTTTGCCTAACTTGTTAACAAATTGTACAAAACAAGGGTTCCAGAAGAAATGGGAATGGCCTACCAAAAACCCCAAGCTTGGACTATACGAAGAGGTTGTACATATCCCTCAGAACAATACTGAGTTGAAGCAGACCATGGCTATTGGGATCAACAGGTTGATATTCAACAAGCTTGGGTTCCGAGAGCTCATAGCCATTAAGAAGAGGCGGCGGATGCTTTAGTCTTACCTTCTTGAAGGTATAATGGTTTCTCAATATATTTAATAAATATCGGGGTTTTGGGGTTTTGGGGTTTTGGGGTTTTGGGG